CTTTTTCATGCATGACTATACCTTACTGGCCTTGGCCACTGCTGATTGACATTGCACATTGTTGCATAGTTTGTTGTCTATAACAATTCCCAAGTCCTTTTCATGTGTTGTTATCCCTAATTCGCTTCCATTAAGGGTATACGTTGCTTGTGTATTCTTTACGCCGAAGTGCATAACTTTGCATTTTTCAACATTAAATTTCATCTGCCATTTGAGTGCCCAGTCTCCCAGTCTATCTAAATCCCTCTGCAGCAAAGTAATATCTTGCTCACATTGTATTGTTTTACAAAGTTTGTGTCATCTGCAAACACTGAAACATGACTTTCAATGCGGTCTTCAAGATCATTTATAAACATGTTAAATAGAAGGGGTCCCAGAACAGACCCCTGAGGGACACCACTTGCCACCTCTGTCCAGCTTGAAAATTTACCATTAATGACAACTCTTTGTACTCTGTTTTTAAGCCAATGTTCTACCCAAGAACAAGCATTTTCATCTAGACCGATTTCCTTGAGTTTGAACACTAATCTATTGTGTGGAACTGTATCAAATGCCTTGGCAAAATCCAAATAGATCACATCCACGGCAACACCCTGATCTATACTTCTACTTACTTCTTCGTAGAACGCAATCAAGTTAGTTTGACATGACCTGTGCTTCATAAAACCATGCTGATTTTTGCTGATAACCATGTTCTTCTCAAGGAATTCTTGAATATTATCCCTTAATAAACTTTCAAATATTTTACCAGCCACAGAAGTTAAGCTCACAGGTCTATAATTTCCAGGCAAGGATTTTGAACCCTTTTTGAATATAGGAACCACATCTGCCTTCCTCCAATCCTCCGGAACACTTCCTGAAAGAAAAGAATCTTGAAAGATTAAAAACAGAGGTTCACTTATTTCTGCACTTAGTTCCTTAAGTACACGTGGATGGATACCGTCAGGCCCTGGAGCTTTGTTTATATTAACTTTCTTTAGTTGCTGCAGCCAGTGCCAGTGTGTGTGTGTGTGTATCTGTGTATCTGTGTGTCAGGTATATACACACACACAGATACACACACACTGGCACATACAAACATAGATATACACACCTTGACACACACCGGCACATACAAAAATGGGGGGGAGGCACGATGTTGATACACTATGTCAAAGAGGTCCACGGGAAAAAATTAATTGGTGACCCCTAATCTAGACTAATGAGTCAGAGCATCTCCAAAACGACATGTCTTATGGTGTGTTCTCAATATGCAGTGGTTAGTAGCGTCCAAAAGAGGTGCAATGAAGGACAACCGGTGAACCGGCATCAGAGTCATGGGCACCCAAGGCTCATTGATGCACTTGGGGAGCCAAGGCTAGCTCGTCTTGTCTGATCACACAGAAGAGCTATTGTAGCTCAAATTGCTGAAAGACATAATGCTGAACATGATAGAAAGGTGTCCGAGCACACAGTGCATCACAGTTTGCTGCACATGATGCTGCCTAGCCGCAGAGTGCTTTTGATGACCCTTGTCCACCACTGCAAAAAATGCCTCTAATGGGGACGTGATTATTGAAACTTGCCTGGTCTAATAAATCATGTTTTTTTTTAGGTCAGTTTGGATGGCTGTGTGCGTTGTTTACATGGGGAAGAGATGGCAATAGCCAGGCCTGTGGAGGCCGTGTTATGCTCTGGGCAATGTTCTGCTTGGAAACCTTGGGTCCTGGCATTCATGTGAATGTCACTTTGACATGTACCAACTACCTAGAGATTGTTGCAGACCACATACATTTGTTCATTGGTGCAATGGTGTTCTCTGGTGGCCTCTTTTAGCAGGATAATGCATCCTGCCACACTGCAAACATTGTTGAGGAACATGACAAAGAGTTCAAGGCGTTAACTTGGCCTCCAAATTCCCCAGATCTCAATCCGATTGAGCATCTGTAGGATGTACTGGAACAGCAAATTCCATCCATGCAAGCCCCACCTCGCAAACTGCAGGACTTAAAGGATCTGCTTCTATTGTCTAATGTACCAGATACCACAGGACACATTCAGAGATCTTGAGGAGTCCATGCCTCAATGCATCAGAGTTGTTTTGGCAGCACAAGGGAGACCTACACGATATGAGGCAGGTAGTTTTAATGTATCAGTGTAATCACATATATGAAACTAGGCTGCACTTACCTTGACATGCATACATTATAATGGTGCTGCTGGGGCCAATTAATACAACATACAGAATCCAGTGCAATCATTCACTAAATACTAGGCATGTGCATGGGATAAATGCTCGGCATTCCGAAATTCTGGACTTCCGCAATTCGGGACTTCCGCAATTCGGCACTTTAACACTTCGGAAATTCTGCAACTTGGACACTGCGGAACTTCGGCACTTCTCTTGCAGTCGCTTAGTAGATAACTCCCTAATTCCCACGGTATTAGGGAGTTATCTACCAAAAGGCTGAAAGACCTAAATTGGTCTTTCAGCCAAAGTTACTAATACTAAGTAAAAATTACTTAGTATTAGTAAATTTTGCCCCTATGGTAAGTTTTATTTTTTTTACAGGTACTTAGTTAAAGGTCCCCACCTCATTATTTTTAGGGTGAGGGGGGTAGGTAGGGGTTAATTTTTATTGGGGGGGAGGGGGTGACTAGGGGTTTGGGGACCTCTAGTCACCTGGGGGGGTAGTAACATTTTTATTTAGGGCCCCCATCCGCCGCTCAGGGGTGGGGGCCGGGGGGAGGGCAATAGGTCCCCCCCATTGGTATTTATGGACCCCACACGCCGCTCAGGGGTGGGGGCCAGAGGGGAGAACATTAGATCCTCCCCTGAGGGCCAGGGGTGAGGACATTAGGTCCCCCCTTATTAGTATTTAGGGCCCCCACCCGCCGCTCAGGGGTGGGGGCCAGGTGGGAGGACATTAGGTCCCCCCCTTATTCCAATTTAGGGTCCCCACCCACCGCTCAGGGGTGGGGGCCAGTGGGGAGAACATTAGGTCCCCCCCTTATTAATATTTAGGGCCCCCACCCACCGCTCAGGGGTGGGGGCCAGGGTGGAGGTCATTAGGTCCCCCCTCTTATTCCAATTTATGGCCCCCAACCGCCTCTCAGGGCTTGGGGCCAGGGGGAAGGATATTAGGTCCCCCCTCTATTAGTATTTAGGGCCCCCACCCACCGCTCAGGGGTGGGGGCCAGGGGGGAGGAAATAAGGTCCCCCCTTATTAGTATTTAGGGCCCCCACCCACCGCTCAGGGGTGGGGGCCAGGGGAGGACCTTATTTTACTTCAGAGAGTTATGAGTCAAATTACACAGTGTGGGAAAATTCCAAAGAACTCCAAAGCCCTGCAGAGCTCAGTCTGCGCGGAGCCCTCGCCGGGTGAAGATTGATTATTTTTTTTTGAGCTCAGTTTTTTTTTTTTTTTTAAGTGTGTTGGTTATTATTATTTTTTTTAAAATAGGCTGCTCACTGTTTACTAGACATGCCCCTACTCGCGGTATAGCGAGTAGGGGCATAATTTACTAATACTAAGTAATCTTTACTTAGTATTAGTAAATTTGGCTGAAAGACCAATTTAGGTCTTTCAGCCTTTTAGTAGATAGCTCCCTAATACCGTGGGAATTAAGGAGTTATCTACTTATTCATTCCTGTTATTACACTGACTGGCTAAGTAACTTACATTTTATATGAATGTATGTTACTTGATTGTTGTAAGTGTTGCAAATGCTTACAGCTGAATCCTGGCTATGTTTGTATACTTTTTATTTAAAATTGTATATAGTGTAACATTCTTTATTCTTTCACTGGGTAAGTATATTAGTTCTTAGGCAATACTGTGCTTCGGAACTTCAGCAATTCGACACTTCGGTAATTTCGAAATTTCGGGACTTCAACCATTCGGCAATTCATCTATTCGGACAATCAGTAGTATCCGAATGTCCGAATTGCCAGAAATTCGTCTGAATTCACATTTGGACTGAAACGAATTGCACATGTCTACTAAATACCAGCTTCAAGCTCATAATATATATATATATATATATATATATATACATACATACGTGTATATATTGGCATACACATTGCATAAGCCTGCCACAACCCTATTGGCAGCTCCTATTCTAGCAACCTACTGCGTGCTCTTATGAGATTAGCCCACTTACTAGGGAATTTACATTGTGTGAGCTTTGATGCTGGGATTGAGTGTGTGATATATGATGTTATGTGTCTCTGTGTGTGTGTGTATTATCCATTCGTTGACTTTTCTACGAATGTTGTACACTTCTCTCTTCCTTCAATTTCTTTATATAGGTTTTCACTTAAAACAGCCTAAAACCTCTGTGATTTCCTATTTGGCTCTCAAGGACTGCAGGAGACAAGATATTCCTGACACATGACAAAATGTACTATCGTTCATATCAATATAAATTACACACCACATTTTATTATGATACAATATAGCAAGTCAGGATGTTACGTCAATGGCACTGAAAAATGTTTTTGACATTGCATAAAAGGATAAGACTTCATGGTTATAATCGAAAGATAGAAACAGGCAAATAATTGTATATATTTGAATAAGTTGTGCATTTATGCTTAGCTTTTCTTAATATACTCATGTTATAAATCAAATCTGAAATGATGAAATCCCTCCATCATCTGTACCACACTTGATAAAAAATTTTTCTACATTTTATCTAACACAAATTATTCATAAAAAGTACAGAAAAGTGACTAAATCGATGTCTGCATTTGTTAAATTAATTTAGATCACTAGAGAGACACTCGTACATGATAAGCTATCCCACTAATGTTGACATTCTAAAACTAACAGACTATTATTACTATTATTATTATTATGATGATATTTATAGAGCGCCGTCAAATTCCGCAGCGCTTTACAATGGGTGGACGAACAGACATGTATTTGTAACCAGACAAGTTGGACACACAGGAACAGAGGTAAAATGACACAAAAAGGTAAGGATAGTATTAGACTAATGACAGTTGCAGAAGAGGAATCAGTCAGGAGCTATTAACAGTTTAATTGATACGCTTTTATGAAGAAGTGAGTTTTTAACGATTTTTGAAGGAGGGGAGACTGGGTGAGCATCTAACGGAGGAGGGAAGCAAGTTCCACAGGAACGGTGCAGCCCTCGAGAAATCTTGAAGGCGAGCATCAGAGGTGGGAGTACGGACAGAAGATAGACGTAAGTCTTCAGCAGATCGTAAGGTCCTAGACGGGACATACTTGTGTATAAGGGAGGATAGATAGGTGGGAGCAGCATTATGTAGAGATTTGAAAGCAAGAACCAGAATTTTAAATTGAGCTCTATATTTTATAGGAAGCCAATGTAGGGACTGACAGAAGGGCGAGGCAAATACAGCTTGACAGAATACAGCTTGACAGAATTCTATAGACGATAGAAATCTGTCATTTCCATTTGTTTGCAACTAATATACCATACATAGGTAATTGCACACACCAAGACAAAATAATTTGTAACTGTACTACTTACATTATAGAGACCACTAAAGGTAACTTTATTTATTAAAAATTTAGTTTCTATAGCAGTTTTTACAATGAAAAGAAACCACAAGATCCCCATGAATATTCAAGAATTGAAGTTTTAATATTGTGTTATTTCAGAGGCAATCAGTGTGGTGTATTACCAAATTCTATAAATTATTATGTACGCATACACATATAAACTCTGGTCCGTCTACTTTAACAAATATTTATTCAGAGACAAAACAACAACAACATACAAATAATGACACACAATCTAACTAACTATACCACCAACAACAGCAACAACAACCTAACTAACAATAACAACTACATCTTATAAAATCCCACTCACAGTTCACCATGATGGAAATTAGGCCATGTCTGCTTAAAGGACTGCTCAGTAGCACAGCCAAGAAGGAACAGAGAGGAATGGAGAAAGGGGGAAGTGGTTATCTCTTTCCTGACTAGTAAAGGTATTGAATTACCAATTAACATTTCAAAAGGGTAAAGCTTATCCCACTGTAAGAGCTTGGTCACATGATCCCTGGTCACCATATTAGTTTGATGACAGAATGTCACCACATTCCCTCACTTTTTTTTCTCTTATGTTGAGCACATTTAAAAGTGAGAGAAAGAATATAGTCAAACAGGGGTTGCATCACCCCACATTCCCCCAATTTCAATTGTTTTCAGTTGTTCCGTTTTTAAATTAACCACTGCCCAAGTGGGTTGGTAAGAACCCTGGTAGTTGTTCATTAATATTATATGGTAATGTGTTCATGTGAAGTAGTAATATCTAGACGCAATCAACCCCATACAGTAATTATCACTAGTTTATGACACAATATGATGTTTAATTTCGCCTGGGACTGGAATCTGAAGACTGTGACTGATCTGTGTGCTTGATAGCTGTGATTTTAGAATGAACTCTCCTTGAATATTGTCTTTGCCAATCCATTACAAAGCTTGAGGTTTGTAGGTTTAATGACACATGCAAGTTCATGAGTGTAGGGTAAACTCATTCTGTGACCACCTTGAAATGACACAAATTCCTGCTTCTTGCTGTTACTTTACCCTTATTCTGGGCTGTGTTAATAGTTTGACTTGGTAATCTCAGCACTTCTTCATCTGTATAGTATCTATTTTCAGGATAATAGTTTGACGTGTAATCCCAGCACCTCTTCATCTGAATAGTAATCATTTTCAGGATAATAGTTTGTCTTGGTAATCCCAGCACTTCTTCATCTGTATAGTAAACTGTGACAGGACATGTCAGTTACCTTCGCCTCTCTGGGCCTTCCAATTAAAATGTTCTTTGAATCAAACACAGACAATGAAATATGTACAACAGTAATCAGCATATTGTCTTGTGTCAAAGGCTTAACTAGTTTTGTCTAATAAAATCTATTTGGTTGTGGTGTCTTAAGGCTATGTTTACATTTTAGAGGTATTTAAAAGACCCACAAATGTCTCCTGAAATTTTGATTAATTTAGACATTTACTCCACACCTGATGGAGAGTTGAACACAAAACCATATTAGTTATTTTATAATTTACTGATGAATACATGCAATAATCACAAAATGTACATAGTTTAAACCGTAAATTATTATACATGAACGTGAGTGGGAAAGATCTAAGGGTGAAAAATGTATTCGCAATTGAACGTAGGTGCAAATTCTCATACCTATAACTATTTAACCCCCTGCGGATAGCCAAATAGAACAAATAGCATACATTTTCACTTTATTATTTATGCCATCTTCACTCAAAGCAATCTAATTTCCCTATATTCTTAATGACAAAAATAAACAAAGCATCAAAGATGGAGAGAGAAGAAAAAAAAAGTAGATTGAATGCTACCATTACACAGTTTGGCAGCGTGCAATCTATAGAAAACTGTCTGTTGCTATTCAAAAATCAAAATCAAAAATCAACTTGAGGTTATATTTGTTGGGAACCAAATAAAAAAAAAAAAAATGCTTTTAAAGTTTTTACTGTTGTAAACCAACAGAAAGTTACACTATCACATCTCTCCAGTGTGATCAAATATAAGCCTCACGTTGGCAACAATTCACTTAATCTATGAATTTATAATTATTAATCCAGCATCAAAAAATAAAACATAGCTGGCAGTGCAGGCGTGCTAAACTAATAAAAACAAAAATTATTTGGAATTTGGCCCACCTGACTGTAATGAATGAATTTAGAGGCTTATCCTTAGTATGACTAAAAAAAAATATATATATATAACAATACATACTAAGGTCCTCTTTAAACTGGAGTGTTACGAGATAATGGTGAGACAGATAAAATATAGAAACAAAAGAAAAAACAAACATACATACAGATGTAGAGGACAACAAAAATTATGGGAGTTATTCATTGCTGGGCACCCCCAATTGATCAGTATTTCCCTCTCTCATCTGTTCCCTAAGCGCTTTCACGTCTGTCTCCAATCTCTCAGTCTGTCTCTTTAGGTCCCAGTAGTCTTTATTCCCTTCTTTATTCCTCCAATTATCCCAATTCCGTCTATTGGTCTGATCATCCCATCTATGGTTCCTTTTCCAATTATTCTCCCAATAACTGTTCCTGTTGTTTCTCTGTTTTTCTTGCCATCTGTGATTTTCCCAGTTATCTCTCCTTTTTAGCTTCTCCCAGGTGTTATTATTATTCCAATTATTATTGATTACCTTAGGCTCCTCCCATCTATTTTTCCAATTATCTCCCATTACATTACTTCCTTTAGAACTGTCCCTATTCCTATGGTCCCTCTGTGGATCTCTCCATCTTTTGTCAAAGTCCTGTTTTGGTCTCCAGTTCTCATTATCCCTCTTGTTCTGAGGTACATCCCACCTTTGGCTTCTCCATTTGCCATCTAAATCTCTACCAGAGTCAACCTTGAATGTTCTTATGGCTGAAGCAGATAAGGCCTGTTCTGAGGAAGGATGCTTAAGCCACCAATTATCAGCTCTAGTTAGTAGCATTTCAAAGTCTGCTGGTGTTGGATCAAAAAGCCTGACAAATTCTTGACACTCCCAGGGAAGGGCTTCCATTACTTTAGCAATGTGTTCTGGTGAGCCCAACACCAGGGGCTGTTGAGGTTGGCGTAGTGTATACCAGAACAATATCCTTTGAGCTACCTCTCTAGGACCATCTGCTGGCCTCATCGTAATATTCGCTATTTCTTTCTCTATGCTGAGTATATAGAAATTAGTTTCAGCAATTCTTCCTGCCTGATCAGACACACTGTTATTGAATCCCAATAGTCTACTAGCCAAAGGACCCATAGCATATTCTAAAAGTTCTGTCCATTCCTCTAAGTTAAAACTTCCTTTTTTAGCTCTATTTGCTCCCCTCATAAACCAGTGTGTAAAAGTATTAAAGTTGTTATTTGGCATACTTCCCCACCATTTCTGGAAATTTTCTTTGTCTGTGATTGACATAGTGCTTGTCTGTCTAGAGAAACTAGTAGGCATTTCTCTTGCATTAAAGTGTTCAGTTATTATTAAAGGGGCTTGTGGGACACAGTTAACAACTGGCGCATCTCCCTTGTGTTTGGTTCCAAGCACTGGTTCTGTACCTTTAGATATAAAATGAGACTGGCCTGGGCATACTTTAGGAATCTCCTTATCCCATTTATTTATGTTTTCTTTAGTTTTCATTTTATATTCCATAACTAGGTTTTGGAGTTCAGTGATCTTAGCACTATATGCATCTCTCTGTTGTTCTATTTCCTTTAATTCCTTCTCCAACCCCTCGATCATTTTGTTTGTTCTTAGGGCAGCTATTTTAAAACAATCTCTTTCATCAAGAGCATCTTCCATTTTATTAGTAGTTACTAAATTAGCTTGCTGCAATTCGAGTACCATGCTTGCCAACCCCCCTATTGCAGCAACAACCGCTTGTGCCACCAAGCTTTTCCTTTTCTTAATATGGCATTTTTTATTAGTAACAATCTGTGTCAAAACATCCATGAAACCTTCATATTTTCCACAATAGGGGCCTGCTGGTTCTGGAAGCTCATATGGTCCATCATGTTTGTCAATGTCATTCTTAAAGTACTCTAGTACTTCTGCAGAAAAATACTTAGTATCTAGATATGACATTTTAAAACCGAGCTCTCCCTAGGTCTTTAATCAAAATAGACCAGCAGACTAAGGAAAAAAAAACAACACGCTTTTAACAATGGGATTAATTTAAAAAACTGAAACTGGCTCCAAAGAGATTGAACCATTTGAGAAACTTAATTACATTAACCTATTCAAACAAACTCTTGTCTTTTAAGAAAAAAAAACTTCACAGTCTCAATACAACAAATGCCCACAGGCAGCAAAACACAAAACCACCCTTTTGCCTTTGTTTAAGTGCAGTGTGGGGGGTTTACAAATAAACAGAATGATTTAAAGGAAGGTATGGGAACTGGAAAATACCTGACTGTAACTTCAGCACAATGATAATTCCCAACCATATAACAATCTAACATAGGCATCTTTACCTCAAATACAAACTGTTCATTCTCTAATAAACACACAGTGTAAAAATTTAAATTTTAGCCTGGCTAAACAATAGCCACCACACTGTATTAGCCCCAATACCTTTATCATGTAAACACAATGCTCCTACCCAGAATTCAATGGTTCAAACAGACAAAAGATAACCCACCAAAAAAAACAGTTTGCTATTTAAACTTAAAATGCAGGGAAGCCACAAAATGTACA